GGCCGGACGGCACGTTCCGCGTTAGTTTTCCGTCTGTATGATGACGACCTCCTTGGCCGCTAAGTCGGGGCACTTGTTTGCAAAGTGGCCGGGCTTGCCACATTTGAAACAAGTAACATCCATCTGCTGTTTCTTGGCTTCAGCAGGCTTGGCGGATTTCTGCTTGTTGGCGGGCTTATCTTTGATCAGTTTGACAATTCCGTTTAACCGTCGGTCGAGGTTGTCCTGGAACTGTTTAAACTGCTTTTGGTTGACGAACCCGGGATCAGCCTGAGATGCTACCTGCACGGTGTTCACACGATGTGATTTTCCCGAGCTTGTGGTGTCACGGAGGCTCAGGAAGTTTTCCACCGCCGTTGTTGCCTCCTCAAGGGACTTGGGATTCGTCATGCCAACGGAAACTGCCATCTGTTGGTCGGGGAGGCCCTTCAGAAAATGGCGAAGGGCGATGCTCTCTCTGGTAATTGGATCTGCCGTAGGGTAGCCACGAAAGACGAGGCGGCGAATGTCGGCTACAAACTCCGCCAGCTTCTCCTTCGGCTGATGTCTCCTCGCTTCTAGCTGAGCGGTGTAGTAATTTGGCAATTGTCGTTCGCCAAATCGTTTACCAAGCTCCTTCACCAGGGTGTCGGACGACTTGATTGCTTCGGGATCCAGTTGCTGGTACACGTACTCGGCCGCCTTTCCACGTAGACTGCCTACAAGTCGGAAGCGCTTTTCTTCCTCAGACCAGCCGCAAGCCTCGGCGAGACCCATCAGAGGTCGGACGAGGCCTTCCCATGACTTCATGCCGTCAAATTCTCCTTGGCGAGGGAGAGGAACATCCAGCTTATGACTCGGCTGGGTTCGGAGAGGACGGGGCTCTGCTTGCTCTGCTGCTGTTGGTTTAGGGGCGTCAGCTTGTGGAACGGTGGAAGGGGCAGTACTGGGAGCGGACATCACTGGCTGTGAGTCCTTGGGCGATTTCGCTGAAACATTGGCATCTGTCTGCTCAGCCGTTGATGGGCTGTGTAATGCAGCAATTGCTCGGAGTTGTTTCAGCTCTTTCTCCGCCTCCACTGAACGAAGCTTGAAAAGTTCGAACTGTTTTTTAAGTTCTTGGAGTTCTGCACTCTCTGCCTGTAGACTTGAATACAGGTCGGTGTCATCATCATCATACAACGACTGTAACCTGCGAGATTTTCGCTTGGCAGGCATGTTGGCTGCTGATATTGACAAGCAGAAAGTCAGAGTCTAAAGCTGGGAGATCCGTTCAGTGGAGGGGTACATGAAGTGACTTAATTAAAACTCATGGTATAGTGCAGTGGTGTATGTAAGTTCGTATCCCAGCGCTTGCCACCAGTGTAACGTCTCTCTTGGGTGAGAGACATTATCAAATAAAGAGTCAGATACAAATATCTTACACACACACTAGTACTTTATTCGGGAATAATTACATCTCAGCTCAATAGAGGGCGCACTATATACAATGTTTAGTTTGGGCGTACATGATTATCTGTGTACAGACATGGGTCTATGGCCAGTGAGCGGACAGCTCGATAATCTACGTGTACATGTCAGGAACTCTGTCGGGGTCAGAGCCCAGATCAACAATCTAATGCATCATATGCGGGAGCTCTGTGTAGGTCAGAGCTCAGCTCAGGAATCTACTGGGGAAGAGCCCAGTACAACAGTCTACTGGGTAAGAGCCCAGTACAACAATGACCAGAACTGCTATTTCTACGCGCTTTATATAGACTTTTGGGTGCGCGTCTTAGCCAATGGGAGCATTGGATTCTGGTAGTTATGAATAATGCATCCGTATACAAAGGCATGGGTAAAGTTTCTATGGGAGATTTGTACACGACTGACTTAGACAATCTACTGGAAGAAAGACGAGCAGTGGTTGGCGGGCGAAGTAGGATCACTCGTGGGTGCGTTACGGGGAACTGATCCTCAAGGAAAAGGGAAAGGGAATAACTTCTCGGTACATAGGGTTGTGTACAAGACTTAGTCCCTAGACTAGATAAGAATCTACACATATATATGGAGTAAAACTATGAGACGAAAGACGTAACCTGACCTCTAGCTACCGTAGGTCTTGGCCAGCGGGGGACACACTCGCTGGGGTGTACGGGGTCACTGAGGGGTGAATACACGGGTAGGTTTTAGCGAGCCACATTCGCTAAATGCTTGGGGTCAATGTGGGTCGGATGCGAGGTAAAGGTGTGTGAGGGGAATTCGCATCGACTCCGGGGATAGGTGGAGGGAAAGTGGCTCAGTCCTAAGTACATGTCCCATGGCAGTACATGTTCAATAGCTGTGAGTGCTACATGCATTGCGCGCTATACAATAGCGTACTGTACAATGTGCTGCACACTTGGCGAGTGTCTCCTAATAAGACTTCGTGGTAAGCTTCGCGCTGTGTGAGGGCACACAGGATCGCTGCAAGCATTACGCTGTGCACGGAGTGGAATGGATTGGTTGGGAAAGAAGTAAACTACGCAATTTGTGGGAACGCAACAGTACTTTGGTTGCTACGCGCATAGTACTTTTGGCCGTGCACAGAAAGATAGCAAAATTAGAAAGTGACATGTGACTCGCTCTCGGCCAATCAAGACACAGAATCTGTGGGTGAGGTGTTATAATATACAAATATAACATGGTTTGAGGGTGGACAGTCGATATTGGCTCCCCGAGGTATTGGAAGTTGACAAACTAGTTCCCGAGGCGAAGCCAATTCCCAGTGGGCACATGACGTTGTTTCAACGTTGAATGTTGGTTGAAATGACGTCACGACGTCAAAATACCGTAAAACAACGTTATTTCAACGTCACTTTTGCGACGTTGATTTTATGTTACAGTTTGACGTTGTTTTAACGTCGAATAAATATTGAAATTGCGTCGCGATATTAGTAACCTAAATTCAATGTCTATCCAACGTCGGTTTTGTAACGTTGTTCCAACGTCCATATTTCGACATTAATCCAACGTTGAATGTTGGTTGAAATTGCGTCGCGATATTATCAACCTAAATTCAATGTCTAGCCAACATCGATTTTGTAACGTTATTTCAACGTCCATATTTCGACATTAATCCAACGTTGAATGTTGGTTGAAATTGCGTCGCAATATTATCAACCTAAATTCAATGTCTTGCCAACGTCGATTTTATAACGTTGTTTCAACGTCCATATTTCGACATTAATTCAACGTTAAATGTTGGTTGAAATTGCGTCGCGATATTATTAACCAAAACTCAATGTCTATCCAACGTCGGTTTGGTAACGTTGTTCCAACGTACATATTTCGACATTAATCTAACGTTGGATAAATGTTAATATTGCGTCGCGATATTAACAACCTAAAATTAACGTCTCTCTGACGTCGGTTTGGTAACGTTGTTCCAACGTACGTATTTCGACATTAATCTGACGTCGAATAAAAGTTTAAATTGCGTCACGATATTAACAACCGAAATTCCATGTCTATTCAACGTCGGTTTGGTAACGTTGTTCCAACGTACAGATTTCAACATTAATCTGACGTTGAATATACGTTTAAATTGCGTCACGATATTAACAATGTTAAATTCAATGTCTATCAATCATCAGTTTTGTAATTGTTCCAACGTATTTTGACATTATTCTAATGTTGGATAAATGCTTAAAATTGCGTCGTGATAACGACCTAAATGTACCAACGTCGGTTTGGTAAACTTTGTTTAACATACGGATTTTAATTAGTCCAAAGTTGAAAAAATGTCGAAATTAAGTGCGTCGCAATCAAACATATTGCATTGCTTTGAAATTGAGTATCCTCGCGGTTACTTCAACGTCAGTCCTGCTGTATCAATTAACGTATAATTTTAACTATCAAAGTGCAAAATATCATGTCAAGAAATATAAACAAAATAGCCGACTTAATTGAACTTTGTGGCCTTTTTATGAAAACAAATTATTTGTCAGCACGCCAAAGCTGTGACGCTAGCCAATCACACGGCGCGTAATTTGTTCTACATTCCAAGGTTGTGACGCTGGCCAATCAGTTTTCATGTACACTCTTTGAATCACGATATGGCGCGCAAGCATATGACCGTTACATATTTCGACATCATACTGCAGTTGTGTGGACGTGTAGCGTGCAGCCGACATCATTTTACTCAAATAATAGGTAAGAATTTTACCATCAAAATTCGTAGTTATTGTTATGATGTTGCTTAGACATACCTGAAGTTTATTCGAAGAACTTTACTTATTAATTGCAACCAATTTCTCCCCAAAACGATAAACAAATATTGACACATCACTGGGATCGGGGACACTGGCATGCATGGTCACTGATGATACCGGCTTCCGGTACGTATGGGAACCAGGTCGACCGCATGCATCCCGGCACTCGGAACAGTGTATTGCTTAGCTGTACTAAAACGGGTTCAATGGGAAAAAGTAGTGAGAGAAATCCTGAGAAATAATCCTCCATTGGCGTTTTGAACTGTACAGTATAATGGACGTGTGACTTAAACTTTCCAAGACGATATTGTTACCATGAATAAATGTGGCTCAATTACTGGATTTCCTTTGTATTGAAAAGTTGTTTCTGAGGAAATAGAAATTGCAATTTTTTTTCACTTGGTAGACCTTATGGACATGAAATGCATGATGATGAAATGTACTTAAGCCTACCTGGTTAAAAAAAAATAGTAACCAGGAAAAATATAATTCGATTTTCTGTACTGTAGAGTTTCAGTTTTCATGTAATTTTCAGGCAAAAAGTAAAAATGGATCGTCCAAAAGTGATTGTAGAATGCAGTATATTTTTCTCGAGGTCAATTACTGCCATACTGGATTTCTTCGTACAGCTACACAGCGGTGATAGGTCATGGGTCATGTACATTATACCGTTTTACTTCCCCTGATTGTTAAACCAGGTGGGTTATCTTCCATAGGGAATAGGCATATCAAGTGGGGGATAAACACTCCCGATTTCGATTTCACATGTTGCTATCACCACGTCACCCCGGTGCTCATGTACATGTACAAGTCACAAAACGGAGGAAGTTGCTGGGTAGTTCCTTGATCCTTTGTGTAAAACTAAAAGTTGCTGTGACAATAGTGAGAATGCGTAACACAAATTTCTGTACCAAAACTTTAGGTAAATGCAAGCATGGATAATTATACCGATGTTTGTAGCCTGTGCTGTGAATGGTGCAATAACAAAATGGACTCACGGTACAGGGAGTGAGTAATTACGTAAATGTATTGGCCTAAGTAATCAATCATTGCATAGGCAGGTGGTATTTCTACATAAACTTGTTTTTGTTTTGTGAAGATACTAGACATGGTTTGCATATTTTTTGGGGAGTATGCAGAGTCTAAGTTTGGCAGGTAGGACAGGTAGGGTAGTTAATCTCACTTTTTCAGCTTCTGAAGAAAAAAATCCTTTTCAAAATTCCAGAAGAGTTTACAAGACCTCACAGATGACGAAACCCCACTCAGCAATGATTCATACAGGAATTGAGGATGAGCCAAAGTCAGCATGGATTGTCGAACCAGTATGGAGGAGTTATGTATGCCTTTCCAGGATACTTCAGTTTGAAAGCTTTCGGACAGTACTCGCAGTGCCGTAGCTGGTATGTATATGCCGACAAAAAAAATTCAGGGCTAAGTATTATGGCAAAAACCGATTATTTTATTCTTAAGTCAATAACACTTGCAGAGATGTAGCTCTGATTGCAGTCATCGCACATAAAACAAGTGGTATTCAAATCCATTTATACTTGTGCGAACAACAGACACAATGGCCAGTTCATTCAAAACGTTAACAAAACGCAAAAATGAAAACAGATTTGTGGCTATATCTTAATTGAGTGTTGGCAGAAGTTTCGTCACAGTGCATTGTATAATAACTTGTGTTTGTTTACACTCTTCCGTTATCTTTTTTCCTGATTGGTCTTTGCTTTTGTCTCTGAGCGTTGTTTTTGTTCTCATCCAACAGGTGCATGACCAAGTGATTGAAGACAGTTCAACAATGATGGGCAGAGTGGAACTGAAAGAAAGCAGATGAGGAGACGGACCTTTTCAGTTTCGCAGGTAATTTAATTTTCTTCGCCAGATTTAATTTATTTTGACCAATTATTGATCTTGGTTAAAATCTCATTGTGTGGGTACTTGGTTGTATGGTTGATAATTGCTGAAGTGTCAGGAAATACAAGTGGTAGTTTTTATAAGTGCAAGTTTAATAAAAGGAATCATTCTGTTGATTTTTTGTACACAATGTCAGCACATAAAATGATGACCAAACGTGTTGTCGCTTTGTTGAAACTAATATGGTTTATGTATGTATTTCTCTCTGTTTGCGTTTGTAACATTTTCGTTTTTGAGGGTGATTTGGTTGTGTCAATGAATAAAGAGATGGTTGGGGAGGAAGCTTGCAATTCTAAAATATTACATTATCTTTTATTTGTCTTTTCTAGCGAGGTCTAGTAACTTCGTAATCGGGCAAGGTGATGGATGTTGCTGCTTGTTCAGTTTTTCATCTCCTGTCAAGTTTGCGCCTGAAAGAAGAGGTGATGGAGGGACACACTGAGGGCCCATGCACCTTCACATTCAGTCGTACCTTTGGACTGTGTTAAATATTTCAATATTGGAACAGTTGATTAATAGTAATTGTTCAAATACAGTAAGTTGCTCTGGAGTGACTGGTATCTTTCCGTAAGTGTAACAGGTAAAGGCTCTTTAAGTGATGGAAATTCAACCTCTGCCGCATCTTGTACTTTTCATCTTGAAACTTCCACGTTCGAGAAGTGGGGGACTGTTATAATAATTATATACAGTACATGTATTGTGCATTATTTAGTTATTACTGTTGATTCTTGGTTGACCTGTTCGAATGTTCAATTGAATCATTTAGATTAATTTTGTATGAATAATGCTGTTTGTTTTATTATTTTCTATTTGATAGTTTCTAATGCTCTTGCCCAAGTCTGCCGCATAACCTCTTGCAATATTTCACAAGAAAATTCATAGATATGATAGAATACGGCTGCAGGTAAATTTGGAAAACTAATATGAATTGTATGCAAATGAAAAAAAGTGAATTTAGACGTTTAAAAATTGTACCTGTATGCTTGTTAACTCGTGTTATATTTCCGATGTAAATGCACTGGGCAGTGCTGCATTTCTTTGAAAAAAGAATCAAATTCATCATCATGTATCTTTTAAGAGACTAGTACCCTCATTTAGGCTATAATGCTGTTGGAACAAGTCAATCTAATTCTGAATTTTACTATGCATGGATTAATTACTACTTTGTTGAAACCTAAAAGGTGTTGTATAAGCTGATAAGGTTGGAAGTTAATTAATAAATACATACATTTTTTTATGGAAAACATAAAAGTGATTGATAAAGAATTTCATTTAAATTTAAAGTTATTCAATTTCGACATGGATTTAACAACACTCCTCAGCTTGCAAATTTATTTAACATAGAACGATTGGAAAAATGCCAACATCCACCATTATCAGTACATTCTGGCTTTAAATCTTAACAAAAACCTTAAAATGTGTTGATTCAAGAATTGCATTTATTTCTAAGAATAGGATGTCATTTAATGTTGATTATTTATTCGTTGATTGAACATCATGTCAGTGCTATTTCAATGTAGAAATGTCGACGTTAAATCAATGTTGAAATGTCTACGTTGTGATCTTAACGTTGTTTCAATGTCGGCATTTCCACGTCGCTTCAATTTGCAAATTCAATCATTAATCAATGCTGAATCAACGTAGAATCTCCGACATTAAATCAACGTTGACATATCTACGTTGATTCAACGTCGTGCTCTCCACGTTGGTTTAACGTCAGCATAATGACGTCAGATCAACTTGCAAATTCAATCATTAATCAAGTTGAATCAACGTAGAATGTCCGTCATTAAATCAACGTTGAAATATCTACGTTGATTCAACGTTGTGCTTTCCACGTTGGTTTAACGTCAGCAAAACAACGTCAGATCAACTTGCAAATTCAATCATTAATCAACGTTGAATCAACGTAAAATTTTCAACATTAAATCAACGTTGAACTGTTGACGTTGATTCAACGTCAGCATTTCAACGTCAGATCAACTTTCAAATTCAATCATTATTCAACGTTAGTTCAACGTCGGAATCTGACGTTGTTTAAACGTTATTTCAACGTATTTTGCCCACTGGGAAGGGAACTAGTTTGTCAACTTCCAATTCCGAGGGGAGCTAATATCGACTGTCCACCCGAAATAAACCATATTATAGTTGTTTTACTGTACCTCATGCATATTCAGTTGCCGATTTTTATTTTATTATATGCACCTTAAACAAAATTCGGAGACACTTGTACAGCTCAACAAAAGAATATTGTTGCTCAACTTGAATTACTAGTTCGGTTCATTTGCAATACAGTTACTACAGTTGTAAATAGAATTGTTTGCAATGTGTACAACTTTTTACAGGAGATATCTTTACACGGTCTATACATTTTCTCCAGTACGGCATCATTGAGCTCTGGAAATTAACATTTACGCGAATCGTGCAACCATGCATCTCTCCTGTGCGATGTTCGCGCGTGCGTACTGCACCCGTGCGACAGTTCCTCGATTGCTCTGTAAGGCGCATGCGTGGTAGACTGTCGCACGGGTAACCAGTGGGTAACCCTTGCGACAGTCTACTACGCATGCGTATTTACTATGTGCGTGAATCCTCGCGCGCGCGATTGGTAAACAGCAAGAATAACATCTGGCACGTGATGGTGAATTGACCAGTGAGAGTTCGGCTCTCGATCATGAATATGTATGAGGTAAAGTTATACTTTTTGAGCCGCAGCGTGAATGGGAGCAATAACGAATTATGTCACTTGATGTGAGTTCCACCAATCAAATGACAAGGAACTGTGTATAATAAATATTATCTGGATAGGACACGCGTATACCTTGCACGCAGTGAAGATTCGGAAAACGCGAACAGCTGGGTATGTAAGTTTGCGGCTGTTAGCGCAAGCGTACATTATCTATTATCTTCAAGTAAACTTGAATCCTCGATCCTGATTGGTCTATCCATGGCAACAAGCCTTGTTACATATAACCATGTAGCACGGCCTCGGTCCATACCGCACTCCGCGTATTACGCTTTTCTAAGATGCGATGTGTGCGTGTTCCATCTTAAGTGTTCCATCTTAACTGTGCGTCAAGTTTGCTTGAAGATAAATTCGTTATCACGCGGGATAACTTATATTATACAAGACCTGAATAAATCCCCGTCATCTGATGGGAGGATCCAATTATTCGTTCCACCGCACAGCGCGTGCGCGGTGCGCAGCGCACAGTGCAATTGAAGTTCTATTGCACGGTGAATAGAACTTCCATTGCACGGTTTGACTGCTGCTGGTGGTGGCACTGTGGAATAGCTTTTAGCTTGCATATAAAAGTTCTGAACTTGTAACACTGTTTGAGTTCTGAACTTGTGGAACAGCTTTAACTTAACTTGCATGAATTGGTAATAAAAGTTCTGAACTTGTTGAACTGTTTGAGTTCTAAACTTGTGAAACAGTTTTAAATCGAGATAAATGAATATGATAGTTCTCAACATGTTGAACAGTTTGCATACATTAAATATGATAGTTCTGAACTTGTCGAACTTTTAAACAGTGTTTAACTTGAATAAATTGGCTTTTAAAAGGTACATGGTTATATGCAGCACGGCTTGTTGCCATGAATCGACCAATCAGGATCGAGGATTCAAGTTTACTTGAAGATAAATAGGCGTAGCAAGGTCATTTTTATTGGGGGGGGGGTAGACGCGAAAAATGGCACTCGATATATCTATGCTGAGAGGTAGACAGGGTTTTTTTTTACAGATTAAAAGGGAGTGGGGACATAATTTTCGTAATGTTCAAAGTGGGTGCACATAGATAACCATGTTCAATGTCATGAAATAATAGGCGACGCTCTTCATGGTAGAACAGTGTCATAACATGATTATTTATAATGGTTTTACATTGTTTTGTTTTTTTACACTTAAGTGAATTTATTTGAACAAATGAAATTGGGCCATTCGGTTGTGATGTCCTCGTACGAATTCATTGGCAACCTTTTTGAGGTCGATAGCATCCATTTCCTCCTTGTACACGTCTGTGATCATCAAATGGTTTAGACGTGCTTGCTTCATCGTTGATCGCAGGTACGTTTTTATCCGTCTGAGAGTGCTGAAGGACCTTTCACTGGAAGCGTTAGTCGCAGGTGCTGTCAGTAGCAATTTGATGAGTTTTATTGCCTCCATCATCAAGTCCCTTTGGCCAGGCTAAAATTGCTGGCATTCCTTGACAGGTTTGCTTATCGTTTGGCAGGAGCTGACACTACCCTTTAGGAGCTGAAGATGGACTTTGAGCATCTCTTCTGTGAAGTCTTCCTTGAAAAACTGGACGAATGTGGTTAACTCGGTCTGGTAATCTGCTCCTAACATAGCCAAAAGCAATAGCTGCTCACACTGCGAGTGTATCTCAAAGCTGTTATCGATGTGCACAGGCGCCCCAACATTGTTTTGTTTGGACTCTCGAAGCACCTTTGCCCAGAACATTTCAAAGGAGTCATCGGATCGAATGCTTCTGAGAGAACATCTTTTTCAGCTGGACATCACGCTTTGGCGACAACCTTACAAGTTTTGTGATTTCGTGAGTGGTTTCCAGGGCCTCACCTCCCTCATCGGCTTTGATTGTTTGATCGTGTCAGTGTATGCTAGATTGAGGGCATGTCCGTGGCAGTGCGTAAAGAGAGCTCTGGATTCGATTGACTTAATCGATGTTGCAACACCACTTCTAGCTCCAGTCATCGTGCTACACCCATCATAGCAATGGCCTCTGCACCTAGCCAGTGATAAATTAAACCGGGTAAGGACATCCTTGATCATAGCTGTGATGGTCTTGGCGTCTGTTCTGTCAATCTGATACAATCCAATAAAATTCTCGTGGGTAATCAAATCGTTATCCACCCAGCGCAGGCAAATTACCATTTGCTCACGATTAGATGAATCTGTTGTCTCATCTGTCATAATCGCATAAAAGTTCGCCTGTTGTACAAACCGTTAGGAAGATGCATCATCGCCTGCTGTAGAACACGACGGCGTGATATCGACAGAAGGTGGCGTGGTCTCGCCATCACTAGATGTCGGCGATGCCACAGGTGTTTCCGATGGAACAGGGGCGGATCCAGGAATTTTCGCAGGGGGGGGGGGCTTTCATCAGCAAAAAATTCTAAAAATGTACACAGGTACACAGGGGGGGGGGGGTGGTACCATATTTCGGGGGCGCTGTTCAAATTCAACGATTATTAACACCAGATTAGATAATGGTGTACCGTATTTTGAACAGGCAGACATTATACCAGTATAACCTTTTTGGGGTGTCACAGCAGGGGGGGGGTTCGACTTATTTTTTTGGAATTTGTATGGGGAAAAAAGTTGACAGAACTGGGGGTTTGACCCCCCCCCCCCCCCCCCCTCTGGATCCGCACCTGTGGAAGGATGGTCGCTTCACTCGAGACATTTTCTGTGGCCTGCCAAAATTGGCTCCAATATTGGTTGGAACATTTTTGTCAATTCAAAGCATCTCTCGGTTTTATTCCCGAGATTCGTGGGTGATTTTTTAAAATAAAAACATCTTTTGAAGGCCTAGAACTTTAGCATTTCGTGCACCTTAGGCCGTGTAGATCGGGTAGAGAAAATTACTACAAAATTAAACCAACACGAAACACTCCCTGCTGCAACAATTTTTCTCCAAATCGATAAACAAAGCATAATCTGATATTTATGTGTCCATCACACTAAACAAAAATGATTTCATTAATATTAAATTGCACAAAAGAAACTTAATATTTTTGTTACAAAACAAATTAATGTATTTTTTAGCAACTCTGTTTTTATTATTTTGAACAATGATTTCCCCCCCCCCCCTGTGCCCCAACTGAAAGAAATATTAGTGCCCTCTGTGCCCTCACTAAACATTCTGTGCCTTCACTTGTCCTTTCTAACAATGTGGGTGCGTCTTGGCCCCAGATAGCTGTGAATGCTGGTGCCCTGGGTCTTTACTCATAATGAGTGTGTCCCCACTGAAATCCTGGGCAACATTGCTATATATTTTGACCCTACATTGTTAAAATAGTACATAGCTGGCTATGCCAAGCTGTAAAAACAATATGGATATGCTGCTTCAAATCGAATGTGTGGAGGGGCTGATTTCAAGCAGTCAATTCAAAGCATCTCTCGGTTTTATTCCCGAGATTCGTGAGTGATTTTTTAAATAAAAACATCTTTTGAAGGCCTAGAACTTTAGCATTTCGTGCACCTTAGGCCGTGTAGATC